TGGGAATGATGAGGGCAACAAATGTATAGATGTGCTTTACACAATTGATCTATGTATTGTGATGAATTGTATGAGCCCCAATAAATTGATTAAAAAAAAAAACCAAAAAACCTCTCTCTTATACATGAGTTGCTGTGGATTTGTTTCTCCAAAGTACCCAGACTAATACAGATGGAAATGCTCATGGTGCAAATAAAGAGATACTATTTTAAAAAATAACTGACTTTGGCAAACAACCTGCTCTGTCATCAATCATGAGGACGGTACAGGACTGGGAAAGCATTTCTTTCTCTTGGACATGTGGTCACCATGAGTCGAAAGCCAACTCAATAGTAGCCAACCACAGTTTTCTAAGAACTCATGTTGTTGTAGTAATTGATGATGATGATGAAAGTAAATGCTTGCCCAATGTCAGGCTTATTGTAGTTGGTGAGCTGCCACCAAGTTGGCCTCCAACTCATGGCAACCCGATGCACAATGAGGTCAGGCCATTGTGACCTACAGGGTTCTCACTGGTTGATTTTTCTCAATAAATTGTCAGGCCTTTCTTCCTAGTCCACCTGTTCAACATTATAGCAACACTCAAGCCTCCACAGTTAGTAGCTGTATGTTGGATGCACTTCCAGGAGTCAACCCACGTCTCCGACAGGGAAGGAAAGAATTCTACCACTGAACAACCACTGTCCTAGTCAGATTTAGAGTAATCACTAAATAGTTGCTATTACTATTGCTGGAATTACTATCAATGTTGCTACATAATAGTCAATTATAAATCAATTGGGGAAAGGAAGATAATGCCTTAAATCATGTGAGAATATATAAAGCACACTGGCCAATCACTTAGAATTGTGCTTCACAAACTGTAATGTGCACACGAGCCAAATCGGGATCTTGATAAAAGTGAAGATGCTGATTCAATAGATATATGGTGGGACCCAAGATTCTGCATTTCTAACAAGCTCCCAAGTGACAGAAGTCCAGTAGAGCCAGGTATTTACAGTTAGCAGGGTTTACACAGTGAAATGAGAATAGTCACATTCTAATTGTTAT